TTTTGGACGTCGACATCCCGACCCTAAACTTTTTTATTGGATCATGCTTGTAAGTGTTTCCACTTAGAGGAAAAAGTTTGTGGAAAATTGAAATTTGAGGCAATATTAGGGAAATTTATCTTTGGATGTGGAAGCACTGACTAAACAAAAAAAAGTTAAAACCGACCTACCCTACCTAAGTTTTTATAAGAAGAAACCGGAAACCCACGTATATTTTTTTTGGCCTAACGGTCGGATTATAAAAATTGATAGAAACAAATATTTTACCGACAATTGAAAGAAATATTCCGACTGCCGAGTACGAATAGCAAATCAAACTCCGCTTACTGTTCCAGTACGAATAGCCACTTCGTAAATCTAAATAAATATGTTATTTCTGTAATTAGGCGCAAGTGAGTTGACCTCATCAATACCCTATCTACCTGAGAAAGGGGAAACATCGCTACTGCAGACAGCGGTATAATGTAGATTCCAATCAAACGCATACAAAAAACTGTGATGGGCGATAACAGGTTTTAATGTCCCTCTTTGTGGATATATTTAATTGTTCCAAAATTGCTCTGACCCCCGGCCTTCACCTGCCCATCCCCAGTCACAGATTTTTGAATATAAAAGAATGCAAAAAATAATGCTTTCTGTTAGAACTGACAATAGAAGAGTAAAAAAAGTAATTTTATTTATTTGGGGAATAATTTTCATCATTGTTTTAATTAGCTGAGGAAAAGCTAAAAGCTGAAAATGGAAAATTTATGGAGGATATAAAGCAGTTGAAATGTGAAAATGAAACACTTTCATTGGAAAATAAAAGGTTAGAATCAATAATAGTTCATGGAAATTTCTAGCAAAAATGATGTATGTTTAATGTTTTACACGTGCTAAAAATGTTGTTTTACTACAGTGGTGAACACTAGGGAGAGCCGGAGGGAGGGGGGTCCCTTCCCCCAATAAAAGTTTGGTACCAAATATCACAATTAACTATACAATGATCAAGTGAGCCTTAAACAGTGTCCGCCACTGATGTCTATGCTGACTACAAATGCATAATTTCAAAAATCAAGTTTACTTTTCACCAAAATAATTAAGTAAACTTTACCATTGGAAAGATCAGCAAAAAGTATATAATATGAAACGTTTAAGCGAGTAGTGCGAATTTTCAAGCTGGTTTTGCATTAAAGGAGCTTAATTAAAAGTAACTATTAATTAGCATCAATTAGCGCATGCATTTTCGAGCGTTAAAGGCTATGAAAATCGCGAACTTTGTGAACTTGATTGCGAACTTTGTTGTAGTATATTTTTGTTAAAGGTAAACTTGAAGTTGAAATTCTGCATTTTTGTCATATAGTACTTTTTATAGGTAAAATTCTCAAATTCTCAAATTTTCATCTATATTAAGCCAAGAGGCAAGACCAGAGTTGCCAAGGTTTACCATGTTTATAACTTTTTATGCGCCTGAGACCGCCAAAAATTGTCTGGAAAATGTCTGCATTTTCAGCCCTTTACTTTCATGCATTAATGATGACGAAAGTGATTTGTATAGTATGGTAGTATATCTCAAAATTTTGCTTCGTGTGTTGGGAGTTCCCTCGCAATGCAATAGCCGAATGCGTAAATACATAAAATATGTAAATAACATATCTTTTTCAGTAAACATGTGAATATTTACATATTCTAGATTGACAGAAAAAATAAAGAACACGAAAGAATTTGTCAAGGTTTATTTTAAGGACCAGCTCAATAGAATAAAAGGTTTGTTTTAATTGTGACTTATAGGGCTTGCAAGCAGTTTATAAACTTACGTTAATATGGGCAACCTTACTACTGTTAAGTCAGTGTTATTCAACTATTTCTAATTTCCTATACATCACTAAGCATTAATTATTCTCTAGAAAACCCTCGAACCTTTAAAACTACTTTTGTCTTAAATGTAACTCTGTTCGTACAGTGTAGCTTGTCGTGTCCGATATCGTATTGTTATTGAAATATGAATGTAGACATTGTATATTGTGTATTGTATATATTGTATATTGTATATTATATAATACCTTATTAACTTCTAATCGTTTAATTGGCTGTTTATGGTCACGTGATATTGAATAGAAAATTCCATTTCCCAAGAGTGCAATGGAACGCGTTCCATTGCACTCTCCGCAATAGTACAATTGAATAAAACGTATAGTACAATTGCACTCTTTGTGTTTTCGATAAATCGCATCCCTCAAAATGCTTCTCATACGAATCTATTAGTCTGTTCTGGACTTTTGGTATTATATGAAACAAATAATGAATGTTTCTTCGTGCAATGGTAAGAATATTTTCATTCGGTGAAAGATGGAATGTTCCATTCAACTCGGCTCAGTCGGCTGTCGCCTCGTTGAATGGAACATTCCATCTTTCACCTCATGAAAATATTCTTACCATTGCACTCATAAACATTCATTATTTGTATATTGTATATTGTGTATTGTATATATTGAATATTGTATATTGTATATTGTATGTTGTATATTGTATATTGTATATTGTATGCAGATAGTCACATGTTGTTAAATTAAGCCTGGTTTCCATATATGGCCATAACTGTCGCGAACGTGTTGTAACTGTCGTCAAAGACAAAGTAGTTTTTGCGACCAAATGGAAACATGACGAAAAGTCTTGTCGCGACATGCTGGCGACAGTTCACGACAGTTGTCGTCGTGATAGACTCGAGTTCTATCTCGACGACAATTGCGACAGGCTAAAAACGTGTCGTGACCGTTGTTTTTTAATGGAAACAGAAAGACGACAGCATGGCAACAGTTTGTCTTTTTAAGACTGGCGCCAGCTGCTTGTACGATCCCTGGGTACGAAATTAACTTGCGACAGTGTCACGACAGTTCCAATCATATAGAAACAAGCATAAAAATCATTCACGACAAACATTTTACGACACGTTCGCGACAGTTACAACCAGATGGACACTAGGCTTTAGATTTCGTTAGGTTTACGGGATAGGTTACTCGTTTTGTTCTAATGTAAGTATTTATGTAAATAAATTTATGCAAATATTCCTTAATCTAGAATTTCCTCAACAGTCAGATGCAATAGTATTTACTGGTATATACTTCATTTTCTTTTTAATGATTTCAGAGATCGAAAAGAACGGCATATATAATGCGGAAACATTTTCCTACCTCGTTGGTGACATTGGAAGGTAGCCTTTTTAAAAATTTTCACTGGGGGGGAGGCAAAAATTGTCTGCCCAAAAGCGCGAGCTTAATGGAAGTGAGAGTGTATTTATCACTAATTAACTTTTAATATTTTACGGTAACTATGATTTTAAATATCCAATTGTCCACAAAATATTTGAGACAATTAAACCCCCCTCTCCTCATTTCAATGTTGCTTTGTGCTGTATTGTTTAATTCAAATATCATACATTAGATTTTGACTGCCACTGAGACAGTTGCGATTCTGGTGTCAAGATTATAGCCTTTCAACATTGAAATAGTTGCAAGGGGGAATGGATTCTTTTTTCTTTTCTTTTTTTTATGCTATACGTTTATTCCATCGAGGGGCAAATCCGATTCTTGGGGAGGGGGGCAACTGCCCACCTTGTAGTATAGTTACATAAAAGGGTTGTGACGAGCTAGATGGCTAAAATATTGAAATATATAATATCTACACCATTCAACTGCTGTTCATTTCTCTTTATTTAGAAGCCTGTACAACACAACTCTTAATGAAACCAACAACGACCCTACTACAAACAAGAAACCCTCTCAAGGAAGATTATCAACAAACAAAGAGAACAGACGAGCACGCTATGAAGACGTTGTCGTTGAGCCGTCGAAAGATTGCAGAATCTCTTGCACAACATCGAACAAAAACAACAAACAGACTACGATAAACGTTGGAAAATGGCAAGATATTTTTTATAATGGAAAAAGCAACAATGAACAACAATCAAATAAAAATAAACAAACGCTTGGTAGTACAGCAAAACCTTTTTCAAACCAAGAACATTTCAAGAATCTGAGGATAGCCTCGAATAAAAATTTTGACCAAGAAATTAAAAATTCTAAACCTCAAGAAACTCAAAACTTTTTAGATCCCGACTTAACTCTATGTTTACCAATTGGCCCCCCTTTCAAGTCAAGTACTCAAATAGAATCAGATAAGAATAAAGAAAAATTTAACAACACCACACAAAATCCCAGCAAAGAAATTTTGAAAAATCAAAAAGCAATTCCAAACGCCGAAGACGGCCAGTTTTTGGATCCCGATATGACCCTGCGTTCACCCATTGGTCCACCTTCGAAGTCAAGTACCCCCCAGGGTCCCAGCTCTGGCGAACAACCGAAGAAATTTACGCTAGCGTTCAGTCCCCCGCCGACTTCGCCGTCTCTCCTAAGCAATGAGGATAGCGAGAGACTTCGGTGTACATTATTGCCTCAGATTATTTCAATGGAAGGCGAGGTTCCTGTGGAAACTCAGCCCAAGTCTCCTACTATCCTCACTCGGTCACATAGTTTCACAAGGACTACAATTTTGGTGGCAGCGTCACCAGACCTTCGGACACCCAAGCGAAAGAGGAATAATATGTCATTCGGGTCGCTGTTAGCTTCAGAAAGTCCAGGGTCGAAACAAGTGATAGTCAATGATAGTGCAGTTTTGGGCGAACATCTAGGAACGAGGCTATCTAGTGACGATGAGAGCCGAAATCAACCCTCTAAAGTAAGCCAATAGTTAAATGTAACTGGATTTACAATTTGGTGTGACCTTGCCACGGGGGTGAAATTGTCATCCCGCCTGCCCCTCCCCTGGAAAAAATTCAGCCCAGTAAGGAAGTTGGTATGGTATGGTATGGTATGCTATGCTATGCTATGCTATGCTATGCTATGCTATGTCATGTCGCGCAGTTTGCGATGAAAAGCCTTCAAAACCGAAAAACCTTTTGGCGTACCTCTCAAAATTGCTTTATTTTAGCTTTGTTCTCTAGTTTCTACTGTGAACTACCTTTTAAAATGCGATTAAAGTACAATTGTCAATGATGGACGCCATATTTACAGCAAGATAAGCAAAACTTACTGAACTTCAGACTTTATTTTCTCTTTGGCGCCCCGCCTTTTAGCATTATTTTACAGAAAAAGGACTCAAAATACTTTTTAAGTTTGTTCGCCGATTGTGAAACGAATGTAATCATAACCGCAAGTGGTATATTATACTAATTAATTTTGAGTGCGTGTTACGTAACTAACATACACACAAAAGGATTTCGAAATTAGGACTAACGACATTGCCCAAGGACAAATAGATTCAATTTTGGTTAACTTTAGGAAAATTAGCTGCAGTCTCCAGGTGACCTCTAGTTTATGATGTAAATTTTATATCTTTGTTTACGTAAAGTGGATATGTGTTAAATTGTGATTTGAAGTCGAACTCTGCCAAAATGCGGAAAATATTATAATTAGAATTGCTTCGTCTCTTAGGATTTTATTTCTCCCCTTCTCTCTCCGACTGGTATTCCTGAATTTATGGAAATTTATTACTACAATATTTTGATATGTTGTTAAATTAATTTCGTTTCGACTTATGTATTTGTTCGTTTCTAGATGCCAGCCAAGAACCATACTCTTTCACCCGATATCATAGTTTTGGACGACAGTGACTTCGCGAAGCCTAATAGCACAGGTGTACCGAGAAAGAAATCCAAAACTAGCGTTGCAAATGAATCCGCATTGAACACGAGTAGTCTGTTGTTTTTCTCACCACAGACGAGTAATAGTCCAGGTATGCTCCCGTTTTTAAAGCTCAGAGGCGATTATACTATCACCACGAGCGCAAGCCCTGGTAACATCGTTTCTACCTCCGCCAGGAGTTGCGTACGCCAGGGTTCGCACAAAACTTGAAAGTCCTTGAATGTCCTTGAATTTGAAAACAAAAATTCAAGGTCTTGAATGTCTTGGAATTTGTAAAGAAGTACTTGAAAGTCCTTGAATTCTTCTCGCTTTAGTTTATGGATATTTTCTGAAATTGTTTGACGTTCAAAAACGGATATTTTGTTGAATTGATTTTGCATGCTCGTATGTGAAAAAGCTGTTTGAAATTCACTAAAGTTACGTTTTGAACAATTCAACGTCATATTGCACTGATTTCTAACGCCTTCTTTTCAGTATTTCGTCCTTGAATTTGCTGATACATGGCCTTGAATGTCTTCGGAAAGTCCTTGCAAATGAATTTGACTCTCTCTGCATGACATGTACGAAGCCTAGTACGCGTATTGAGAGACATACAACTACTTGAAAAATACGAAGGAAACTGCAACGTTTCGACGAAGCGCATTCACTCGGAACGTCGAAGTTCTGCTTGTAATTTTCAGGCAGTTGTACCTCTATCTATCCGCCGTGGGTGTCAGATGTTGGGATCCAAGGTAACCAAGTTAGTTACCTGCACGTGAGTGGAGCTAACTGCAAACCTGGGTCAGAAGGTCTTGTGCATGTTGGCATAGTGGAACATTTCAATTTTTCCCAATATCATGACCAGGCGACAATTTAAAAAGTTCGCTCAAAAAGTTCCCCCGGTCTCCGTCGCAACCCGCAAGTTACGTTGACCCAATCCGCAGATATCATCGCTTATCGCTATCTGCACTCGGGAAATATTTTTTATACAAGAAAGTTTGTTTCATTTACTACCTGTGGGCAAACAAGGGAACATTCGTGGAATCTCATGCACATGTTCGAATTGATCAAGATTTTGTAATATCTTAATTAAACAATATTGTACTGAATTAATCGCATTTTGAGCGTGCAATTTGTATAATTTTATGATTTGTTTTACTTTGCAGTGCCCTCGTCGTCAAAAACTCTTCAAAGCGATAATGAATCAAACGAAATGCGTGGAAATGAAGAGATTGATCAGGTATTTATTGTAATTTATGATCTCCGATGGGAGGGGGTGCCATTCTATTAAGAAAAGAGATAACTAAACGCTAGCCTGGGCTAGTACTGTTAAAACTACCATGAGCTTACAATTAATAAGGCGGGGGTTAACCCAAACTTTAAGCTGTTCATTCAGATAGGCATAACACATCAGGTTTTACTCTAAACCATGACAAACTATATATCATATGAAAGCTAATGAAACATAGATTCTGAAAATATAATTTATATTATCAATAATTACATTGTAACCCGACACCGGCTACCACATGCTGTGAGTTCCCTATCTTCCTTTGAGAAAAGATTTAAGATTGGGTATTGCATTAAATTGCTTATTTTTGACACAGTGGTTGGTCAAAGTTTGTGAACAAGAAAGTGGTCACGTTTTGATTCATAACTTCCTAAAAATTATACATTTCAAAAATCTCTATGCTTATCCAAGAAAGCTCTCTTAGAGCAACAATTCCTGAAAATTGCATAACAATTGAGCAAATACTAGTCGAGTTATCTTTTCTCAACTGCGAAAAACAGGTATTTGGAGAAAATCAACTTTAAAAGTTGCCATGTCTTAAAAAGTGCAATAGTAAATATTTGGACTGTGCAAGTCATTATTTCATGCATTAAATGAAACAGGGGGTTGTTTAAAACCTTGCTGCTTCAAAACTGACTCCCTCAGCTTCATGAAGAGCCTCTTCCCTTTGTATCGGCAGGAAGGCGTGTCATTCGCAACGTTTCATTTGCTTCTGGTTGGCATGAAAATAGATTTTCTTAACCTCTTCTTGTCACGTACAAAGGAATTATGCCTTGTATCAGTTGTATGGTGACCAGCAGGTATGGAAAGTCCCTCCATAATCCTTTCTCTGCTTGCAGCACCACTACGGATTTGGCAAAAAGCTGAAGCAACAGTACAGTGAACAGTGTGGAAGCTGTGATGTTTATGCTTTGGACATCAAGCCGATACGGGTTGATACCAGGGGTTCAGGCATTCATTTGTGTTTTGAAGTTGTGCCATGTACCCATCTCTCATGCAACTTTGTATCACTCACTCAGTTATACAAAAGTTGGCTTCAGCTCTTCTTGTTTACCTAAAAGTTCAAGGCAAAATCTTATTAGTTGAGGTGTAGGTTCGACATAGCAGCCCAAGGCATATATCAAAGGTGCACAAAATTTATATAATAAATAAACAAAGCAAAAATAGCTGATAAAACTTACAGTATGTAAGAATTTCATTTTATCACTTATACAATGCCAAGATAACAAACAAATATAATATTTGGGTGATAGGGCAAACTGGCAAAGCCAATTTAAAAACAAATATCACTAAATACCTTCATCGCAAACATTTCAGAGAACACAGAGGCTGAATGTTTTATATTTCTCAACCTATATCCATCTTCATCATTGCCAGGCAGACCTGGAAAGACATCAGCCAACTCTGTAGCTCTAGCATCGTTTTGTAATTTCATCGTCTTCCCCCAAAGAGTTATTCACATTTATACACACGCAGGTTCATCATCAGTTTCATCACGATGTCTCAGCCGTCTCCTCGATGCTTTGCTCTCCTCTTTCGCTTTATTAATGCCCTTTGTATCCCAGAGAAACCTTTTCCTTTCCTAGTCATCTTTATATAATGTTTTTTCCTTTCTACCCAACCATATTCAACTAAAATATGGCTTTTTCCTCAACACAAGCACAGAATACTACACAAATTTTCCAATTCGCCATAACAAAAAAGATGTCGGCATGTCGATCTACCTACAATCCTTTGCGTGCAGCAAGCATAAATCCGCAAAAAAGAGTGACAAGAAAAATAGACAATGACATGAAACTTTAACAGATAGGTATAACTGACGTCTTGTCTTTTGTGTGTTATTTAAAAAACGTTTAACTGTTGTTTTAAATCATTTCCGACTGCAATGCATTGTGGGTAGATCGACAGCCGCCATCTTTTTTATTAAGGCGAATTTTGTCCAGTGAACTCTCTCTCTATATATATATCTGGAACGATAACATTCAGTCATTTGATTGTGAAAACAATGAAGCCTCGATACCAGTCTTTCACGCGGATTGGACGTCAGTCTCAGTCCCTCAAGCGTCAGGTTTACGCGGATTGGACGTCAGTTTCATTCCCCCTCTTGCAAACCGTTGCACGGCCAGTATAAATTTGAACGCAATCACGAAAAAAAAATTAAAAACATGGCCAACTGCCCAACTCAATGCAATACATTTTAGGAGCAAACTGTTTTGCTCCTAAAATTTACTGCATTGAGTTCGCTGTCGGAAAAAGTCGAGAAAAACTTCCCCGTGTGGAGAAAAGAATCACTTTTTCAAATATATTGTGTCGTACTGTCGTTCTGGATGCACAAGGAAAGAGATGTTCTTGCGAGAAAATTTCATTTCACAGGTAGGTAAATTGACTTGCAACTGTGACTTTGCCGTTGCCGTTTTTCGCGATTGTTTGAATTGTTTTTTAGTTTACCAGTTTTATAGTTTTTAGTCAATACACTGGTACGTTATTTTTTAAAGAATTTATTGTGTGATGGGAATTTGCCTGCCAGCAAAATGTAAATGAATATGTACGTGTGTTTGAATATAAATTAGACCATATGGGCTTAGTAAAAAAATATTTTAATAACTACGTTTCGGAGTATAACTCCACCTTCAGGTTAAAAGTGAATAAACATATAAAAACTGTGATAAAAACGTTCAAAACAATTACAAATTTTATATGCAAGTGATTTTTAATACTGTAAGAAAGTTCTTGAACAGTTGATGACGAAGACAATGACGAATACTTTAAGTATGTCGTGATTTTTTTGTCGGCTTCACTTTTCGCTCGCTGTTATCATTCCAGATATATATATATATATAGAGTTCACTGATTTTGTCACGCACAAAACTTTAGATCACACCTTTTTGTCAGCGGTTCGATGCTTTGTGACAGACAGACTTTATGTTAGCTTCCTATGATGGCATACTCTCATCTCCAGGGAAACTGGGCTCAGTTTTGACGGAGAAAACAAGGTAACAACAAAAAATGCTACCTTACGTTTCCATAGCAACCAGATAATTTTAAATGGCGAGTCTTTTAAAAGCCAGATTAAACACGGAAAAAATTCAAATGAAAGCAAACAACATGTGCCTATGCTAAATCTAATGTTTGAAGTACCTTTTTCTCTTAAAAAATTTTTTTTCAAAAATTTTCAAATTTTGGGTTAAGGCTTTCTCTCGATTGCCCGTTTGGGAAAGTACGGCAGTCCAAATTGTGGTATTTTTTTAATAATCAGTGTGTGAGTAGATGGAAAACACAATGCCTAAATTTAATTATGATTTATTTAAAAGATTCATGATCAATACCTGACGAAATATGGAGTTTTGACACATTCAACGGGGTGACGTCATAATGTTGATAAAAAAATCATATTCAACGTCATGGCGTCATAATGTTGATATCAACGTTATGACGTCATGCTGTGGAAATACAAATACGAAATGTGGAAACACGACTAAAACATTTGTTTCATAAAATGATTTCCCTTAGAGCACTTAATTATTTTGACAATTTTAAAAAATTCTGTTGGGCCAAAATATTTTAAAATTAAGTAATTGTGATTATTCGTAAAATATATTTTCAGTTGGCTCGACCGAATTTGTTTTAAATTGTCAAATTAAATTAGTATACTAAGAGAAGTCATTTTACGAAATAACACCTAGTGGTGTCTAGCACCCGCGAGAAAAGTCCAACACCAACCTAAAAATCTGCTTAACCATACATTTTATGTTATCCGAATAGCGATTAGGGAACTGCTGCTGTTAGCGCGTGTCGATTTCTTGGAACGATTTAATTGATTTGTGAGCTCACACGATGCTTTAGTTAAATATCACAGTTACATGTAAACTGTACTTTAATTAACAAGTAAATTTACTGTGCTGTGCTGTGCTGTGCTGTGCTGTGCTGTGCTGTGCTGTGCTGTGCTGTGCTGTGCTGTGCTGTGCTGTGCTGTGCTGTGCTGTGCTGTGCTGTGCTCTGCTGTGCTGTGCTGTGATGTGATGCTCCAACTGTCCAGTCACGCATTCGTGATAAAAAGCCAATATAAGTTTTATAAACAAAAGATAATGTAAAACGTAACAGAACGGCGAACATGCAGATTCGACCATCTCAAGTAATGGTAATGTTGGGATAGTAGCGTTACAGACTGCAGAGGAGAGTGGGCAGTAAGGCTCCCTCGTGCACCACCCCACGGGAAACCTGCACCCCTCCTTGCAGATGAGGATACAGTAGATCAACCCCTGCTTCGTCAATCGTCGATAATTTATATATTTTTAAAATTATGAAACTACAAAATTTACAACTTTCTAACAAGCATATGACGATGTGTATGAACAAAACTCCAGCTTTATCCCGCTTCTATACTCTGAAAATCCATCTGGGTATGCCTGGGTGCCTTGATCGTTATTGGACATATCTTCAGTATTCCAGTCTATATATCCCTCGAATGGTCCTAAATATCCATCAACAAGGGGACACGTGTCGAATTTCATTAAAATCAGACTGTTGCATTGTGGCATGCCAGTGAGCATGCGCGGGCCATCATCACGACAGCAGAAATAGATTTGAGTGTTGTGGTCGTAGACACCGTCTGGTAGTGTTCCCTCACCGCTGTTTGTATTCCGTCTGTCTTTGTCGTCCCAGTGTATGCTACCTAAAATAAAGCAAAGATGGATTTTGGTGGAAATAGTGCGGGAGGTGGAAAAAAAATAGGGGAAGTGCACCAGTCTAGCTCATGACCCCCATGGAAAGTTAGGGCTTAGAACGGGTCAAAGTCAACGACGTGACGTATGCATGTAGTGTACATTTGTATCAGCGTATTACAGGTAAACTACGTGAAGCGTTCCTCTTTTGAGTTTCTAAATTGATTGCAATTTTCCTCATTACTTTTGCAATTTAAAAAACTCCTTTGCAAATCCCTTGAGGGAATTTGCAATGTTGCTAAAAGCAAAAAAAAATTTCCTCAGTTCCTGTTAGAAGTTCTTACCTTCCTGTTACAAGTTCCTAACTTCCTGTTCTGTTCTGGGCGTTGCAATTGGCTAACAAAAATAATCGACCAATAACAACGCTCAGAACAGAACAGGAAGTTAGGAAATTAAAACAGGAAGTTAGGAAAATTTGCATTGGAATATTGCAACAGTTGATAGGAACATTGCAAATTCCCTCAAGGGATTTGCAAAGAGTTTTTCAAATTTGCAAAGCTAATGAGGAAAATTCCAAATGAGTTACGAAGTCAAAAGAGGAACGCTTCACGTAGTTTACCTGTAATGAATTATGACTGTACAACTCATCCAATCTTGCCCTTCATTACCGAATTACTACAAAGTTTATTTCAAAACATTGCATTAAAAGGGTACTTGACACGGAGATGAATGGCTATTACTGTTTCAATTTTACAGAAAAACGTTTTTACGAAGTGTAGACCCTAAGCAACCAAATAATATCAAATGTTTACTTTGATCTATCATTGAAACTTTCCCAAGGTGAGGTGCATGACATTTCAGGGGAGGTGCAAAAATTTCCAAGGGAGAGGGGGGGGGGGGGG